CCCCCCCCCCCCCCCCCCCCAACCCTCCCCCCTCTCTAAAGCTTGTTCTCTCTGACTGTCTTCTGTAGCTACACATTAACAACACTCTGTGCTGGTATGGCTGCAGGGCATCTCGGTTCCACACCTGGTTCACATTGGGGCTCTGAAAGTTTGCTCAGTGTCTGCACTGAATACATCGTCCATAGACAACTGATCTAGGAGCAGTTTTCAAGCAATGGAGTCGAATCATCTGAGCTGAAAACTGGGCTTATGTAACTTTTGCTCCTTGAAAGCATTGTTAGTGCTCGTCACATTGTTCAAATCTATCGCCTATAAAGGATTATGTTAAATACAACCTTTGTGAGTGTATAAAATACATTTTAGTTGCTTGGGTGAAAATTCCAGGAGAGTCGGGTTCGTCTGGATTCACTCGTTTTTGGAAAAGCATAGCTGGACCCCAGAAAAATATAGTTTATTATATAATTTCATTTAACAACAATACATATGACTTTCGTACAGTACTCGTACCGTTGTGGTAAATGCAGGCAGCGGTTACGTATGTGTAATCTGGTTATTTGCTCTTTGCTCCCAGCTGCAGCACTGAGCTGTTTGTGGCACAGAGGAAACTGTTCAAGTTTGGGTCTGCTTTTAGAGCCAGGTGATCCACATTTCTGGCTCACTGCCTCCCATCTCACATGAGGCTTAACAGCAGACACACACACTCACACACACACATGTACTGCGCATATGCACTAAACAATAAACAATTGCATGCACTTCCTCAACTCGACATCTTTTATGCTGCTCGTGTCTGGTTCTCACCTCTCACCTCTGGTTTTTCCTTTCAGGCAGCATCTGTTCCTGTCATTATCATTTCGTCTCGACTCCAACTTCCGCACTCTTTCGCTCTATTGTTAGTTCCTCCACGCCTCTCTCTCTAATGACCTGTCTGTCTCTTCCCATTACATCTCTGTGGGGTCTGAGCTGACTCTCGTCTCAGTTTCTTCTCTCTACTCAAACACACACACTTCCCTGTTAAGGATGGACGGGGTTGCCTTCAAGCTGCCAATCTGCTCCAGATATTAATGATGCAGCACAAACACCTGGGATTTTTCAAAGCAAAGCCCACAATCCAAGACAAAACTATCACATCAACTTCAAAAACTTCTATTATTTTTAAAAACTATTATTGCACAACTTCCAAGTCTTACCATGAGGGTCGGGATGGCTGTCACCAGTGAGTAGATGAGCACTGGGGGGATCTTGCTGGTGTTGTCCGGACCAGGGTACGGCTTGGAGAAACTCTTGTCGTAGCAGAAGAAGCCCTGGACGTGCACCGGGAAGGTGTCCGTGTACTCGAAGTAGTAAGCGAGCAACACCGTCCCAGCCATGATCACCAGCTGGAAGTAGAACATTATCCTGGCGTTAGAAAGCGAGAGGGTGAGAGACGAAGCAGAGGAGGATTGAGAGAGGAAGAGGGGAGAGTGCAGTCCCTGTTCCCCTCAGTCACAGGTAGATGCATAGGAAAGCCACAGAGAGGCAGAGTGAGAGGCTCAATGTTTGGATCCAAGACTGAGGGAGAGAGAAAGAAGGAGGAGGATTTCCCTTTGAAGGGATGAAAGGAGACAAAAAAAGACTAAAATGAGGATTCAGAGGAAACAAAAGAGTTGCAAAGAGCGATAAAACACGAATAGAGCGAAATGGACAAAGATGAGAGGAGGATGGAGGGGTAGCAGCCCTTAAGCTGCTGGCTCTCAGAGAAATACTACAGCTGAGCTGTGGGTGTGTTTGTAGAAATTGTGTGTGTGTGTGTGCAGAATGCTGAAATATGTGAGGCAAGAGCATGTGCAGCGGGGAGTGAAGCGTGTTTCTGCACACACGTGGTTTTATCCATCAGATGATGTCTTGGCTGAAGTGTTCCTAAAAATACTTCTACCATCAGAACCATGTTTCTGATCAGTGCCTGCAGTCCAAGGCACTTCAACACATCCTCTCTGAACATCAAGCGATGAAATCTCATTGTATATCGGCCATTTCAACACAAACACTAAAAGGGTCCAATTAATACAAATGCATGGTTTTTATGACACTTAACCAACTAGTTTAAAACGCTTCGGAAATTCTAAAACTAACCAAAAGTTATGAATATTATTTGGGGGAAATTAAATAAAAGTCAAATATTTGAGCAGTACAATAATCTAAGCTTTCTGTGTTTTATCTATTAAAGTGCCTATGACGTTACTTTTTTGTTGTTGTTGAAAGAAATGTTAATGTGTTTTGAAAAGGTAGCATTAATAATGTAATGCTAAAAATATCATATTGCTGAGATGGACAGATGTTGGCATGCACAGATTGACAAAAAAAAAAAATCTGCATGCATGATGCCTCCGTGTGAACCAGGGGTGTCCAAACATTTTCAGATGTGTGCCAAAACTATCCAGATGAAAGGACTTGTGGGCCACACAAAGGTGAATTTAACTCAACGTGAACAATATTTTGGAGAAATGACAAAATTGTATTAATTTTGGTGGAGAAAGAGATTTGCTGGGTCTATGTTTGCTGTTTTCTTGTGTTTGGAAAGCTCATTTCAGACTGGTCTCAGTAAACTAAGTGTAATTTGAGTAAGTGTCCTTTTAAAAGGGGGTCGATCAGCCTTTTGGACCATGGACGGCCCAAAAGTCTGATCCAAGTTATGAAAAATCTTCCAACTGTCTGTCGCTACAACAGATTCATAGACGGTTTGATAAAGTTGATCAACATGTATGCAGATGATACCATGTTATTTTCATTTATAACGTCCAGTTTCCCTCTTGATTATTTCACCATCTGCAATATTTAACTAAGTTTTATGAATCAGTATTTTAAAGTTTCCTTTCAAGTAGAAATCAATGAAGGTTTTGGTGTTTGTAATGGTAAATGGACTGTACTTATATAGCGCCTTTCTATCTTATTAAGACACTCAAAACACTTTACTTTACAATATGTCATTTACCCATTCATACAGCACTCTACTACATCTCTACAAAGCTAATTGAACAAATCATTCTAAAGAGACTAATCAGAGCTTTATCACATTCATACACTGATGGGACACACATCTGAGGCAATGAGGGGTTCAGTGTCTTGCTCAGGGACACTTCGGCACGTGACTGCTGGTGGATTCGAACCCCCAACTCTCGCATTGGAGGACGACTGCTCTAACCATTCAGCCACAGCCGCCCACAACCATGTACCATGACGTGAAAATAAAAAGATCACAGCCAAATGTTTGTATTTTGCTTAATATTGCTCATTTTGAGAAGATTATTTTACTGATAAACAAACATTATGCAACAAAGGATCACCAACTATTTTTCAGTCAGGTCATCTGGACAGTTTTTTTTTTTTTTTGTGCTGAAACGTTTCGCCTTCAATCCAGAAGGCTTCATCAGTCAAGGAAACACAACACAAAACTGATTCTTCCCCCAACAGCTTACTCCAAAGTGGAACAAACCAGTTATGTTGGTGCTAAGATGGTCTCTTTAACAACGCCCCCTCCTCCATTGTCGGCCCTCTTCCTTGTTGACAGTCGTGTCAAACTGGTTGTTGTCTGTTTCCTTGACTGATGAAGCCTTCCGGATCGAAAGTGAAACGTTTCAGCACAAAAAAAAAAAAAAAACTGTGCAGATGACCTAACTGAAAAATGTTGGATTGTAATCCTGGATTATTGAGCATGGACTTTGTTGATTACCAACTAATTTGCAGAAAGTCTGCATCGACCTCTTAAGCCTGCTGGCCAAAATGAGCCCATTCTTAAACTGCAGTTGTGGGCCAAACAAAACAACTCCAAGAGCCACAAATGGCCCTCGGGCCGCACTTTGGACACTCGTGATGAAAACAGATCATTGCTACAGTGGCTAACAACACAGGCTGTAAAGAAATATGATGCTTAAGATCAGAGCTATTCAACTAAACTGCTCAGGTGGGCACAGTTTCTGCAAGCCAGCAGCTCAGGGGCCGGACATCCAGCGATTAAAGTCATTATGTAAATAAACCAAGTTGATCTGTTACCTTTTAAATTAGTTTCTTTTGTTGCGTTGAATCATAAATGGAATAAACAGAACCCAAAACTCACCCCGACCCTTTCAAAATCTTTTTTTATGAACTCATTGGTGGGCTGGACTGAAGCCAGCTGACTAGCCCTGCTTTAGATTAATTTAGGTCACTATCAGAGAAACAAAGGAGTTCCCCTTTTGAAAGAGTTCCACATTGATGTCACTTCCTGTTTTACTTTAGCTGCGCCAAGTTCAAAAGAAAATCTGCCACTTATGTGACATGTGTACTGTGCCAAATTCTTTTAATACTGAAAAAAAAAAAAATCTAAATTTTAAAGTGTGACTTGCATAAAATCCTGACGATGTTTTTATTTTTTTTTATTTTTTCATTTAATTTTTTTTTTGTCAACTTAACAAAGCACATGCACAGTGTAAAAGTGAAAGTAGAGAGTTTTTTTGCATCTGATTCATGCTCCTCAGGCTAACGCTATAACTGCAGGGCTCACTACGACTTATAAAATATTTACCGGTATATAAATATATTTATGCAGCTTTATTTATAGCACAAATTTGCAAAACCAATTTTCTGTTGGGGAAGAAAAATCAGGACTCGAATCATTATAAATGAAGCAGCTCTCTGGCAGTTGGTGCAAACATTACCCATGTTACAAACTCTCCCATGATGCATTCAACACGCTCTAAAACATGCTTGTCCCGCTCGAATTGCACCAGTTTCCTCCGATGCACCATGACTTGAATCCACGTGGGCAGTGGAGTATATTTCTCAACAGTGTTCTTGTTTGTTTATAAAATGTCAGACCATCCTTCATCTGTGCTTCTCTTTAGAGATGCGCTTAAAAATCTGTGGTTGTCATGGTGACGACATGACTCATGCAGCGTATCAGAGTCGTCTTCACTTAGATCTGTCTTATGTAGAATTTATTGGTAGAAAATCATTAGAGCAGCTTGTGACTGATTTTATTGTCCGTGCTGCTCATTTGATATTAGTTGTGTGGTTGGTTTGCTGTCAGAGGAAGGTGGTGTTTTCTTTACGTGACTCATAAAGCTTCTTTTTGTTTGCCTGTTTGACAGAGCAGCGCTCCTCCCCTGCATTCAGCCAGCATTTTGAGTCTGACTCACCGGTGTAATGACAGACAACTACTACAAAAACACAACACTTTAAAAATCAGCAGAATCATTGGGTTAGGTTAGGCATGCCTCCCACTGTTGTGACAATGTGTAGGGTATGTTTGCATCGAGCGCCACACATTTATGGATTTTTACAAATGCACTCTCTAAGTTTTGCCTTTTTATCTTCCTTATATCATTGTTTAATCTAAGAGACAACAAAAAGCTGAATAAAGTCAAGCACTACTGTTCCATATGTATTGTTGGGGGAAAGAAAGCCATCCCTGTTTCAGTTCTAGGGTTCAATAAATCAGGACATAAAAATAATCTGGTCTTTTCCTGACTCAAGAATGAAATAAAAAATAAAAGAAACTGTTGTCGCCCAATAATTTGTGATGGGTCAATAAGAATGCGCAAACTATTTGGACTCCATTAATGGGAAACATAAGGCAGCTGTGAATCTTAGTGGACGTCAAAGCAAATTCACCCTAAAGTCAGACTGTGCAATGCTCAGAAAAAATGCAACCCCCCCCCCCCCCCCC